AGGAATTTTTGATATTTTATCTGAATTGGTTTTCACAAATACTTGTCTTTCAGATCCATGAAAGCTAGAAAGCAGCCTGATTCCACATCTGCTATTGTTGATCTCAGTTATCCCAGTTTGAATTTTTTATATAAACACACACATTTCAAACCCCTCTTTTGTGATAATGAAGTAGAATGAATAGATTTTCTGTCTGAGCTCATCAAAGGTGGCAAGGGATTCTGAGGATAGCGCTGATCTGGAGAGATGAGTCAATGGTCTGAGTCACTGTTTTTTGGCAGGATTTCTAGAACATGGGGAAATCACAAGATGAGGGCTGGGGTAATTTGAGAAATTGTTATACCTTGTGCCTTTGCACTATTATTTGAAAAATCTATGGTCTGATGTTGCATCCTCCTACTCCTTCCTAAATGCAGATATTCTTCCCCCTGGAAGGCGGCAAAGAGTTTGTGGAAAAGCATCACATATTGCTCTTGGAAAGTTGATTTGAACCCTGGCTTCTGTTGTGTCCTGCAGAAAAAGCACCCTCTGGACTTGAAGCTTTAGAGGGTAGGAAAAGAATACTTCTGTACTTTTCTGTTATATGAACCGATTTTTCTACTTTTTTTTCCTCTCTCACAACTGTTGGAAGGTGATACTGCTTTAGCTTTAGGGCCAGCGATCTCATTTACAATAAGTTCCAAAAATAGCCTGCAAAAGAGAGAGCCCAAGAGACTTAGTTTTGAGGAAGAGTCTCCTGTCAAGGAGAAAAGCCACACAGATAATATAATGACCACAATTAATACCATTATCTGTAAACTAGATTCTTATCTATGCCACAGATTAGGCAGCTGCTTTTGTGGCATACTGAAATGTTTTCCCTTATTTTCCTAGGTCTTCAGGAATGCGTTAGATATTATAAGGAAAGGTCCAGTTTTCAAATTACATGTACAACAATGTGCTGTCTATATCTGTTGTCATGTAAGATTTAAAACAAGAAAATTTGCCTCAAAGTAATCCTTTTGATCTTTGGTGAAATGCAACTGTAAGAAGTTTCCTTTCCCAATGTGCTCTAAAATGCTATGTAGAGTCAAAAACTCATCCACTTCCTGGGATTTAGGTTTATTAACAACAACAATGTTCAACTCAAGACTTCTCTCCAAGGTTGTCTACTCCTAAGGATTTCAGGATTGCAGGTCACTTAGCCCAGTGAGTCAGCTGAATCTAAGGCCTGGTCTATACTGGGAGAGGGGAGGGGGGAAGAATTGATCTAAGATACGCAACTTCAGCTACATGAATAACATAGCTGAAGTCGACGTACTTAGATCTACTTACCGCGGTGTCTTCACTACGGTGAGTCGACTGCTGCCGCTCCCCCATCGACTCTGCCTGCGCCTCTCGCCAAGCTGGAGTACAGGAGTCGATGGGAGAGCGCTTGGGGATCGATTTATCGCATCTAGACTAGACACGATAAATCGATCTCCGCTGGATCGATTGCTGCCCGCTGATAGTGAAGACATACCCAAAGTAACATGTTCCCAGTAGGATTTACATATGGTTAAAAACATGGAATTTCAAGCAAACTATGCCAGACGTACACAAATTTGGAAAAATAGAGTATCTAAGGCTATGTCATTTAAAAAAGCTGTGATTTTACATGAAGATAAGCTATCTCAATGTACAATCCTAGTGGAGACAAAGCACTGTTTTTACTTTGATGTAGCTAGTTATGTCAACCCCATATAGGGGAACAGGGCTGCTGATGTTAACTATGTTACCCTTCTTTTTCCAGAGAAAATTAGTCTCTCTCAGTCAACAGGAGATATTAAAGGTGACAGTAATTGTGTATGGAAACAGGTTTAGCAAAAGAAGTGGAAAAGGAGTCTTTATTAGGGATTCAGGTTTTTAGAGATCTGAAGAGCGGGATTAAAACTATCAATTAAATTCAAACATGGTGACATAGAACTACATAGTCTTTCAGACAAACCCAAGATAAATCCTTTAGCAAAATTTAGATCTTGGATTTCCACATTTTTAGTAATATTTTCTGAGAATTATTTCTATTCTAAAAAACATTTATTGAAAACTCAACCAGTTTCAAAGGTTCCTTCCTATCTTTTCCTTTGGTTAATTAATATTGCTTTCTGCACAATCTGTTTTTTAAAACCAATTAACTTTGATGATATGAAATCTAACCTAATTTTAAAAGAAAAATTTAAGTCTTGAATTGCCCCCAAATAACAACTTCTTATTAAACCCTTATATTGTGGTGGCACTAGTGGTCAACAGCTTGAAGCCCATTATACTAGGCACTGTGCAAGTGTATTGTAAATGACAGTCCATGCCCACAAAAGCCAATGTAATTGTGGAAGGAGAATTAGTTTGTTCAGTAGAAGATACTTCTTCTGGAAGTTGTGTAGCCTCGAAGGTCACAGAAAATAAGGAAGACTCTGATAGGAAATGATATATGAAAGTTTCCATATTACCTAAAACTTTTTGGGATCTATTGCTAGTAGAACCTGAAATCACTTCAGTAGCAGAGCCAATAAGCAGGGCCCAGACAACACTCCAACAGTAGTAATAGCGGTATTAAGGGAAGAATCTGCTAATCAATCTCCACCACCACCCGAATCCTTTTATGTTTGTTTTGGAAAGGGCTAAAGTATTGTGTCTAAACTTGTCCTTATGGATTGCAATGCCTGCGAGAAGGCACATCCTCTTTCTCATCTTCCAAAGGGGAAGAAATAGAAATTGCCCCTTCTTTGGAGGAGGAATTCAAAAATGTTTCAATCCTCTCAAGATTTTTCCTCAATTTTTTATTGCTTTTGGTGGATCTGGCTGCCAATTTCTCAGATGAAGTGACAGAGTAAGAGATCTCCTTTATATCCATTTTCTTAAAGAAGGAAGGTTGAATACAAGGAACATAAATAAACTTCTCAAATAGGGTTTTACCCAGTCAAACAATTATTTCTGGGAGCAGCTTTGTTGAGTGGGCACTTACCTCAAGGAGTGCGGCATTGCTCTTGCCATCGTAAATCCTGGACTCATCTGTCTAGCTTTGCTGTGGAAAGGGAGCTTGAAGGAGGATGCCACTAGTTGTTTTTGACTAGGTCTGCTGCCCCAACATAATACCCTGATGTCTCCCCCACAGTCAAAGGAAGAAACGGGTACACAGGGGGAGCAGAGTTTACACCTGCTTCCATCCATAATGCAAGGCAGGCAATGAGGAAAAGGGAGAACCCAGTGAAGAGAAAGACTATGGGAAACCACTTGGCAGGAAAGAGTCTTGTTAATTTGTTTGGTTAGAATACCTGTTTTCAAACCGAGAGATAACCCATTTTTCCAAAATGAAGGCTTTGCTAAACAAGAACATTTTATAGTGTTAACTATCTTACATTTTGTACAACATCCAGCACTATAGTGGCTAAGTGATTCCCAGGTAAATAAAATTTACATAGTGAGGATCCTAGTGAGCTTCATGGAAATATCTGCACTTTCCTTTTGGAAGGTTGGAGAAGACTCTGGTTTGATTAAATAAATATTTGGGGAGAGTTGTTTTAATGTCTTTTTGGTATTTTTAAAGGTTTGATTGTTTGTTTTACATCTATGCAATTATGATGGGAAAGCTTTCTCAAAGAAAAAGAATCTGCAGAGTTTCCTAAAGGTGATTAACTTCCACCTTGGTCCAAGTTCCTGTGGGGACTGACTTCATAATTAGGATTCCCTCAAATGAGACTCTAGCTATTATGTGCTTTGTACTGGGTTTTGTGAGCTGCATTGTATCAGAGCAGCACAGCTGTCTTGGTGGTCATGAATGAAAATGTAACTGGGTTTTAATTAATTGATGGCCTTGAACTGACACCAGAAGTGGATTGGGAGCTAAGGGATGGAATGAACTGTGAGAATGCTATACTCATACTAGCCTGGCCTGCCTTACCTGATTTATTTATTATTGCTGATGGCAGCATAGCCAGTATTCTGACTCCACCTTTTGTTGGGTGAGTAAAACCATGTCCTTCACTTTTTATTATAGCCATGGTTGCAAATATGACTTGATCTGGCCTTTAGTAATGATGTCATTACCTCCATTTGTTTCCTGATCTCAGACTAGGATTAGTCACATATTATACACATGCACATTATGTACATTCCAAGTTGGTTTTATTTTGTTTTATGATTAATCTTGTCTGTGTGACGAGTTATTATAGCTTGGAAAGACTTAATCTGAGCATGTACCAAAGGGGTAATTTACCAAGCACTGAAGCCTCTCCATGTTTAACTCTAAAGGCGGCTTCTACATTTCTAACTGTATAGAAATCTGCCAGTGAAAATTGTTGCCAATGCTTAGTATCAGGTAAACATAGCTTTTTCTTACCCTATTATAATATCTTTCCAGTATTCTGTTAATAAAGGTCTTAATTTAGAGAAGTCAAAAGGAAAGTTACAAATTAAAATATTACACTCATGCTAAAGCATTTCTCACCACTTTATCAGGTAAAACAAAATTGAAATTAAATATTATGTGAGACAGACAGTGTGCATTCTTAAATGCACATGTATATGTTGAATACAGCAGATACTGAGTAATTAATAAAGCATAATGCAAGTGAAGCATAATTGCTACATTAATCAAAAATTTTTTTTGAAATCTATGAACAGAATTGTACAATGTAAATGCACAGTCAACTTACATTTTCTAAATTTTATTACCGGTAGAAATATTTGGTGGGAACACCGCTTCGGTGTTACAAAAGATGTGGTGGTAGCAATGATGGCAGTCACAGGGGAATTTGGCACTGACTCTCTATAATAAATAACACAAGCGTCTGAGACAAAAACAACTCAGAGCTCCCATTTCTAGTAATTTAGATTGGCCAATTGTACAAAATTAGATTAAAAATCATAACATAATGTATTGTATAACATAATGGTTTATACTAAGTTTATCTTAAGAAGATTACATATTTTTACCCAATTGAGATGAAGGTATAAACACAGATAAATTGATACAGTCTGCAAGATTGACAAAAAACAAATGTCTGGATTTATTCACTGTGCAGAATGTAAAGACTTGTTTGGTATTAAAAGGTACTCATTTAAAATTAGTGTAGTTTACTGTTTGCATAAGAAAATTACACATTTGCAGCCTAACTAGTTTATGCAGTTTCTTCGCAATTATCATTACAATGATACTTGTCCTGATAACTTCTGTGAAATGTTTAGACTTCTCACTTAAAAAACCTAAACCCCTATGTATTCTGTAATACAGTAACTGTACTTACACTGCTGTGGGGTATTACAAATACATAGTAGTCATGTTCTGCATTCTATATGTACTGGCCAGGATATACATCTGACTAAAGGAAATACATGATATGTGTATTATGGAAAATGAAAAAGATTAAAGTGCACTAAAATATGGACATATAGAGATGGTGATATTCCAATGACAACACTGTAATACATTCTTTATTCAATGTATGCATGTTCTTTCAAAACAGTAGTAAAAAGTTTTTAAGTTGTTTATCTCTAGAATGAGTGGTTTACACTATGTTTGGTGGTATGTATCTATGCATGATTTATAGGGGCAGGGAAAATGTACACTTGCCATTTTGAAACAATAGCTTTTTTTTTTTTAAACCAAACTTTAATTCTCCTGAAGTTTTACATACAAAGAATAAATGAATTATGATCTTATTTTCCTCAAAAAAATTAACATCTAACATTGGTGCAGGATTTTAAATTATATAAAATCTGCTGTGTGGTAAATTAACATGTTTTTTTAACATGAATCCTGAGTAAGAGTGGAACATATAGCATTATTGACTAAAAATAAAATCCCTTCATAATTAAAATAATTGAACAGTTTTTATGTTCTACCACAGAACAGCAAGGCAATATATTATGAGAGCCTTGTATTCAACAACTGTCATGAATACCCATTGCAAACCTGAATATTTTCAGCAAAAATAAAACGGCAGATTATGCACAACAGTAAAAAGCATCAGAAATAGATGCACCTGGGATTTTTTTAAACCACAAAAATTAGAATTTAGCTTTTGTTTCACAGTCATCAAAAGGTTAAACCAATCCGAGATAACTGCATTAGGTAAACCATTGAACTGAGTAAAGACCCCCAATCAGGCTTGTACTGCAACATTAATATTGGTTTTCATACAGGCACAGACTTCCTTTTTATATTCATGTTCAAAAATAACATGAAATACAAATCTCAAAATATTATTAGGATCTACCCAACATTTCCACATAAGCAAAAAGTTCTGGCCACTTTGGTAAATGAAGTCACTGAATTTTTTTAGAACTGGAGGTACCTCATGGAAAATAAGAGCTCTGAATTCAGCAAGGCAGCATTATATCAAGGTATTTGTATACCAAGAAGGGCAGGGAGAACTTTGCATCATGGTATACGGTATTCAATCTTTGAATAAAGTTTTATATTCCATGTGGTGAAAGTGCATAGGAGTGGGATTCTGCTAGAGCAGCAAGAATCCTCTCACAGTATTAAGGCCTTTCAACTGCATGTTAACTGTGTTAGTCTATAGTCAGCACAGTGAAAACTGAATATATGCTTTCTGCTATTGTATTGTACATCAGTCTGAAGTCTTCTCAACATGATTTCTCCTCTCCTAGCTGTCGTTCCTCTTCTTCATCTGCTTCCTCAATAACCTGAATTTCATCTGTTTGAGGTAAGGATGAGTTATCTGGCTGCAGTTTACTCCCTTCAGCTTTATTTTTTTCTTCTTCTTCAATCACATTCTTCCATATTTTGTGATTTTCACTCAGATGGTGCATTAGCTGGCAAAATATTCGCCTTCTGCCTTTTTTTCTTTGTAGTTCTGTAAAATTACAAACATATTTTTTTCACATGCTAGCCACAATCAAATATAGGGTAATTATATTCTCTGTTTATCAAACCCAAATGCTACTCTGTAAACCAGGCGTAGGTTTGAACTCAACATAGCAAGACAGACATGGATGCTCCATCACAGCAAATATTGACATTCTATCTTTAATATCAAGTCCCTAAGGAAATTGGAAGACTTGACTAACTTCTATCTCAGGTTGTAAAACTCTTTCTCATTTTAATTCAAAATTAATTGCAGGAGATAATTATTCCTGCTTACATACAAGTAGCCAAAGTGAAAGGGCAAAAATACATAATTATTATGATGTATAAGTTCAACCAAGTATTGCCAAATCCAAATCCATTAAAAAGCCCTATGTGCATCTTATCTTACTTTGACCAAAATCATCTTCCATTTCTTCATCTTCACTCTCCATTTCTTCTCCATTTTCATCTTCCACACTTTCTATATCATCCTCCTCTTCATCAAGCCACCGGCCTGGAAGCAAGCCAGCTGCATCACAGGAATTGCAAAGGGGGCCAACTATGTGAGTAATAAAAGATTCTTGTAATTTTGCAAGTTGAGGAGAAGAACGGTCCATGAAGGGGCTAATAGGTAATCCAAGGCTTGCTTCTTCATCACCCTGAAAATTTTAGAAATTCATAATTACTTTTAAAGTTTTAAAAACTGACTAGACATTGAGTTGATGGTGTCTCTTTTTCTTAAAGAGAAATTATTTTTTTGAAAAACTACTATTTGTGCTCTTTATCTAAGATGATTTAATAAACAGGTACAGATACTGGTCCATTTGGGCACTATCATGCATGAGAATAAGGGGGAGTAAATTCTCCCCTCACTTTCCTGTGTGGCATCCCTGGGTCACTACTCTTGGCATAGTGGGGAGATGTGGCTCTGTGGGGTCATTACTTCTCCCCCTGTACAGGTGGGCATACAGGGGCAGATCTTTGACTCCAATTGCTTAGCTCATGTATGTAGGAAAGGGGAAGATAATCTGCTACTGATAAAACATAGTACTAAATTACTTCCTCCCAGGAGAGAAGCATGGGAGAGAAGGAAAAAGAATTGTGACTCTGGATAAGAAAAGATTCTTGTAATTTTGCAATTTGAAGAAAAGAACAATCCACAAAGAGGCAAAAGGTAACTCTAAGGCACAATTTCTTCCCTTAGCTCTCTTTTGAAGCAGCATTGCTTTTGTACACAGGACTGTGCCTAATGGCACAAACTAGCGAACAAGGTCTTTAACTTCTGTTCAATGCTATTCCTGTCCAAAAACCCTGCCATTTTTTGTAGTTTTGCAATCACAGTTTTCAAGTTTCCTGCTGGAGCTGAAAAAATTACTGTTGAGGCAGATTGATTCCGAGTAGCAGTAAAGAGTTGGGTGAGTCCAAGTGAATGGTCTGTGGGGTATTGGTTTCCATTATAACCTGTGTGTCATCTATGTTGTTGCTAAACTCAGAGACAAAATCCAGCAATTTTCTCTGTATTTTTGGGAGGGGTCCCAGGTGTGCAGCTTCTGCAACACTATCACTGATGTTAATGTAACACCTGTTGAATTGAAGTCTGAAATATAATATATGTGGCTGTAAGTACATGTTTTACCAACTCCATATCTTTTTGGACTATGGATTAAAAGGTCTACTTGTTAGCCTCTAGAAATTGGTCAACAGCAGAAAGTATGTTACTCCAGAGATTATAAATACAGCTGGCTACAACTTCGTAGTAGTTCTCTATGTTCATGTTTAGAACTTCTGCTAATTAAGATTTCGTGTCCTTTTCATCCAGCTTCTGTTCATACTTATTATGATGAGGCAAAACTGAAGGGCTTTCCACCCATATTCATCATAGGATTCAAGGGATTACCATCTGATTTCTGGTTACTTAATAAAGGTAACCAAACCTCCAAGCTCAAGTTGGTTGAGCCCACAAATTCATAGGGGGATTCCTCAAGTGCTAGGTTATAAGAAGGGCCACTCTTCCTTTGTGTTGCAACTGTATGATATTTAACAGCTGATAGAATTTTTCCTGGATAAAAGACAACAGAATATTCAGATTCCATGCCAGGCATTGAATTAGCTCCTTAAGGCCCCAATGCTACTCCCACCAAAGTCAATGATAAAACTCCTAATGACTTAATAGATAATAAATTAATTGAATCCCATATCATCTGCTCTTCTAAAAACTCTTATCAGTAAGGCAGATCTACAGGTGAACTGAAGCTTGAGACTCATCTTTCATCAGTTGAATGCTGATGTCCTTCCTTCACTCTTTGTAAGCAAGGGTAAGAATTCAAAAGTAAAGAAAACTAAAAAGCAGCCCAGGTCCTACTACTTGCTTCATAGGAGTGGATTAGCTGAACATTTGCCCCAAACCAGACAATTACCTAGAGAATGTCAGAAACCACTGGAGAACAGGTGCTGAAGAAGCCCTTTGAGCTCATTGCTTTGATATAGCAGAGCACCAGGTGAAAATTATAGACTTTAGTGCAAAGGGAATGGTTCAAGTACCAGATAGCTTCACCAGAGTTGTTCAAGTAAATATCTCCAGATATGTGATTAAAATCTGAAAGGGAAGAAGTGCAGTCTGATGCAAAGATGATGCAGAGTTACCATCTAACTCAGATGAAGTGCTGAATACAGAGCACACTTGCTTTCCATTTGATGAGGAGAGCTCAGGTCCTGAAGAGGTGTTGATGATGCACAGGTAAATGGTGGACTTCAGAGTGAAATCAGAGAAGAGGAGGTTACTTTCCTGTAACTGGAGGTTCTTTGAGATGCGTGTTCCCTCTCTGTATTCCACTGAGGGTTACATATGTGCACCACGTGCCTGGAGTCGGAGAATTTTGAAAGAAGTGTCCATTGGTCCATGTATGTGCCCTGGCTCATCTTGTGCTTCTATCCGAGGTGATAAAGTGTAGAGCAATCCAACTAAGTCTCCAGTTCCTTTCCACTGTGAATTTGACAGATCCGACCAAAGCAGAGGGGAAGGAAGGCGGAAAGTGGAATACAGATAGGGACCATACACCCCAAAGAATCTCCAGTTACTGGTAAGTAACCTCCTCTTCTTCGAGTGATGATCCCCATTGTACTCCACAGAAGGTGACTGACAAGCAGAACCTAACTTGGAGGAGGATGTGAGGATGAGGGCAGAGGCTGTTTTAGATTTGATTTTGACAAATAGGGAGGAACTGGTTGAGAATTTGAAAGTGGAAAGTGGCTTGGGTGAAAGTAATCATGAAATGGTAGAGTTCATGATTCTAAGGAATGGTAGGAGGGAGAACAGCAAAATAAAGAAAATGGATTTCAAGAAGGCAAACTTTAGCAAACTCAGGGAGTTGGTAGGCAAGATCCCACAGGAAACAAGTCTAAGGAGAAAAACAATTGAAGACAGTTGGCAGTTTTTCAAAGAGACATTAAGGGCACAAAAGCAAACTATCCCAATGCAGAGGAAAGATAGGAAGTATGGCGGGAGACCACCCTGGCTTAACCAGGAGATCTTCAATGATCTAAAAATCAAAAGAGAGTCTTATAAAAAGTGGAAACTAGGTCAAATTACAAAGAATGAATATAAACAAACAACACAAGCATGTAAGGACAAAATTAGAAAGGCCAAAGCACAAAACAAGATCAAACTAGCTAGAGACATAAAGGGTAACAAGAAAACATTCTACAAATACATTAGAAGAAAGAGGAAGACCAAGGACAGGGTAGGCCCATTACTCAATGACGGGGGAAAAACAATAACAGAAAATGTGGAAGGGGCAGAGGTGCTTAATAACTTCTTTGTTTTGGTTTTCACCAAGAAGGTTGGTGGTGATTGGATGTCTTCAACTCACCAGGGCCTGATGAAACGCATCCTAGAATACTCAAGGAGCTGACTGAGAAGATATTTGAGCTATTAGCGATTATATTTGAAAAGTCATGGAAGACGGGAGAGATTCCAGAAGACTGGAAAAGGGGAAATATAGTGCCAATCTATATATATATAAAAAGGGAAATAAGGACAACCCGGGGAATTACAGACCTGTCAGCTTGACTTTGGTACCCAGAAAAATAATGAAGCAAATAATTAAGCAATCAATTTGCAGTCAGCATGGATTTATCAAGAACAAATTATGTCAAACCAACCTAATAGCTTTATTTGACAGGATAACAAGCCATGTGGTTAGGGAGGAAATGGTAGACTTGGTATGTCTTACTTTAGTAAAGCTTTTGATACTGTCTCGCATGACCTTCTCATAAACAAACTAGGGAAATGCAACCTAGATGGAGCTATAAGAAGGGTGCTAATTGGTTGGAAAACCGTTCCCAAAGAGTAGTTATCAGTGGTTCACAGTCATGCTGTAAGGGCATAACGAGTGGGGTCCCGCAGAGATCAGTTCTGGGTCGGGTTGTGTTCAATATCTTCACCAATGATTTAGATAATGGCATAGAGAGTACATTTATAAAGTTTGAGGGCAATACCAAACTGGGAGGTGTTGCAAGTGCTTTGGCGGATAGGATTAAAATTCAAAATAATCTGGAGAAATAGTCAGAAGTAAATAGGATGAAATTCAATAAGGACAAATGCAAAGTACTCCACTTAGGAAGGAACAATCAGTTGCATACATACAAAATGGGAAATGACTGCTTAGGAAGGAGTACTGTGGAAAGGGATCTGGGGGTAATAGTGGACCACAAGCTAAATATGAGTCAACAGTATAACACTGTTGCAAAAAAAGCAAACATCATTCCGGGATGTATTATCAGGAGTGTTGTAAACAAGACATGAAGTAATTCCTCTGTTCTACTCCGCGCTGATTAGGCCTCAACTGGAGTAGTGTGTCCAATTCTGGATGCCACATTTCAGGAAAGATGTGGACAAACTGGAGAAAGTCCAGAGAAGAGAAAAGGTCTAGAAAACATGCTCTATGAGGGAAGATTGAAAATATTAGGTTTGTTTAGTTTGGAGAAGAGAAAACTGAGGGGAGACATGATAACAGTTTTCAAGTTCATAAAGGTTGTTACAAGGAGGGAGAGAGAAAAGCAATGGGCTTAAATTGCAGCCAGGATGGTCTAGGTTGGACATTAGGAAAAACTTCCTGTCAGGGTAGTTAAAAACTGGAATAAACTCCCTAGGGAGGTTTTGGAATCTGTCACTGGAAATTTTTAAGAGCAGGTTAGACAAACACCTGTCCGGGATGGTCTAGATAATACTTAGTCCTGCCTTGACTGCAGGGGATTGGACTAGAAGACCTCTTGAGGTCCCTTCCAGCCCTATGATTCTATGATATTCAGTGCCTGAAACCTGTCTGTGGGCAGGTATGCTCGTGCCATGGTTTATGGTACCACAATGAAGTCCAGCGATTGCATGGGTTGAGGATCACTTCTTGATGTTGATGCTGACTCCCAGTGAAGAAAGGTGGCTGAGTAATAGAGAAAGGTTGATGCATAGGCTTCCTGTCGAGACCTGGCAGCCAAGAGTCAGTTGTCGAGGTATGGAAAAAACAGGAAACCCTAACACCTGATGTGAGCTGCTAGTACAGAAAATACTTTGGTGAAGACTCTGGGAGCGGTAGCTAATCCAAAGGCAAGTACCCCGTTTTGGAAATGGTTGTTGCCCACCCCAATCTGAGAAAACATCTGTGGGCGGGGTGAATATCTACGTGGAAGTAAGTATCTTTCATATCGAGAGTCAAGAACCACATGCCTTTCTCTAAGGATGGTATTATCGCTGCCAAAGTGACCATACAAAACTTGAGTTTATGGATAAAGCGATTGAGGTGGCAGAGATCAAGGATTGGTCTCGAACCATCTTTTTTCTTGGGTATCAGGAAGTAAGTTGCGTAGAACCCTGTTCCTTGATATTGTAGAGGAACGTGTTCTATTGCTCCCTGGTGTAATAAGGAGTTCACCTCTTGGACGAGAATACTGTTGTGAGAGTGGTCCCTAAAAGGGGGCGAGGGGTTTGGAGGAGATAGTATTACAAACTCGATCATATAGATGACATTCAGCACCCATTTGTCTGTTGTTATAGACTCCGAGTGTGGGAAAAAAGAGTGCTAAATGACCCTCAAAGAGAGTGGAAGGGTCATGAGATGTTAGGATTGGTGGTTGGCAGCTCTAAAGCTCATGTCAAAAATACCACTTTGTTTGTGGTTGGGTTTGAGACGTGCAAGCCAGCATGGGCGGCCCAAGGGAGCAAGACCTCTGAATCTTTTGTTGTTTATGTGGGGGTTCATAAGGTCTCTGTTGATAAAATTGAGGAGCCCAGTATCACTGGGTGGATGACGGGTGGTGGAACTTTTGTTTCAGGGCAGGAGTGTAGATGCTTAACAAGCAAAGGGTAGCCCTGGAGTCTTTCAGCGTATGCAAAGACTCATCTGTCTTCTGGTTAAAGCAATGGGATTTGTCAAAACAGACGTCCTCAATGGTGTTCTGTATCTCTCTAGGAAACCCAAAAGCATGAAGCCAGGACTCCCTACACATCATGATAGCCGTAGTCCTGGAGGAGTTATCAGCTGCATCTACTGCAGACTGGAGGGCAGTTCTGGCTAAGAGTTTCCTTTCCTTTCAGGCATGATCTTGTTGTGGGAGGGTATTAGCAAATTCCTCAAATTTAGTGTAATAAAGGAAGTCGTAGTAGGCCAATAATGCTTGTAATTGGCTATTCAGTATTGTATACTGGAGAAAGAGAAGACTTTCCTTCCCAGAAGGTCTAGACACTTTCCTTTCTTGTCTGAAGGTGTAGATTGAGGTGTTTCTGTTTAGCTCTCTGTGCAGCAGCCTGAACTACCAATGAGTTTGGAGCTGGACAAGAGAAGAGGAATTCTGATCTTTTGTATGGGACGTAGTGGCATATCTCTGCTCCTTTAGGGATGGCTGTACATGGCTGGCGCTAATATGGCTTTGTTGATTGGTATTGCTATTCTTGCCATTCCCGAGGTGTGAAGAATGCCTAGAAGCTTATGCTGGAAGTCTTGGATCTCTTCGAATGGGATCTGGAGTCCCCAGCAACTCTCCATAAAATCTCTTGGAATTGCCTGAAGTCATCTGGTAGGGAAGGGGATGATGCAGTCACAGCCTCACCCGATAGGTAGATAGTAATCTATCCAGCTCCAGCAGAACTGCCGGGACCGGGGTATAAAATTGTTCTTCTGCTATCGGATACATGGGCCTGCTTGATGGATCTCGAGAGAGCAGATGACGATTCTCTTGTGGATAGGGCTCCCAATATGAAAAAGAATTTGGATCCGCAGGAGATTGCAGGGTCTCCACGACATGGGGTTCCAGTGGTTCTGGAAAGGATGAGGAGGTAGTTGATCCCATGGATATGTCGGTCTTCATGATAGTGCATAGGAGCAGTATGATAAAGGTGGTTCTTCTTCCATTTACAATTCGCTGGAAGAGGAAAAGGCAGACTGCTGTTCTAATGGCAGTACTGTCAGAGACAATGGAACACCATATAGCACATGCAAGAAGAACAAGATACCTGTGGTGGGGATATGATTTCCCTGGAAGTGGAGGGGCCTGACGGAGTAGGAGACTCTGGATCTAGCCAGGTGTAGACATCTTGGGGTGAAGCCATGGATCCAGATCTCCCTGATGTGAGGGGCACTCTCTCATTCCTGGTCATCGGTACTGGCGCTGAGGTTTTTCCTGGTATGGGAGGATCTCATGTCTCGTGAGGTGCCAGAGAGGGTGATACTGACGGTTCATCACCTGGAACCGCTGGATCCCATTGTTTATGGGTCTTCTTCTCATGCCTGTGGGATTTGGAATGTGCTCTGTCCCCTTGGGCCAACCTGGAAAAGGGAATATCCAATTTCTTGGACTTCGAAGAAGACTTAGTTCCATGCTCATGGGAGTGCTTCCTAATCTCCAGACTAGGCCCTGCCATGGGGACTGTGGGGCTCACAGCACTGAAGTCAGATGTTGTAGCGAGAGACACGCTCCTCACTGAACCAGGCCGATGTATGGAGGGAGGGGTATTCCCAAGCCTGGATCTGAATGCGGTCTCACGGCCATCTCCATGAGATGCTTCTGGAGACCAAGAGCTCAGCCTTCTCAGGTACAGCTGGGGAAGGACTGGCACATATTGCATCTAGCTGCAATGTGAGCTTCTCCCAGGCAGTAGAGGCAGCGTTGATGGTTGTCACTGACCGAGAAGGATCACAGGCAAGAGGCACAGAATTTGAAGCCCGGAGTTCTGGGCATAGTCTGGTATGGGGGAGAGGGGGGAGGAGGGACTGGGAAATATCCCCAAAGTGTACTCTAAAACTAAGTGTTAAAACTAGTAACTATAAAAACTAGGAAAAAAAGAAAACTACAGTAGAAACTCAGAGTTACGAACACCTTGGGAATGGAGGTTGTTCGTAACTCTGAACAAAACATTATGGTTGTTCTTTCAAAAGTTTACAAGTGAACACTGAGTTAATACAGCTTTGAAACTTTATGCAGAAGAAAAATGCTGCTTTCCCTTTTTTTTTAGTAGCTTACAATTAACATAATACTGTATTGTTTTGCTCTTTTGGGGGGGGGGGTCTCTACTGCTCCCTATTGCGTACTTGCGGTTCCAAATGAGATGTGTGGTTGACTGGTTAGTTCATAACTCTGGTGTTTGTAACTCTGAGGTTCTACTGTAGTAAAACTACAGTTAAAATGGATAAAACTATGCTTTTTAAAAGTGCATCAAAGACAAGAAGACTGAAGGCTCCAACCTGGACCATGTGGCGGTAAGAAGGAACTGGCAACATGGTCAGTCCGCCCCATCCTTTATCACCTCAGACAGAAGCATTAGGTGAGTCAGGATGCATGCATGCACTAACAGATACTATTTTCAACATTCTCCAACTCCAGACGCATGCTGTGCATGCGTAACCCTCAGTGGAATACAATACGGATCATCACTTGAAAAATAAACTGAAACTGCCCGCAACATTATTGTGTGTTTGAGCAGATTATGCACTTTCCATGCCCCATAAAAAAACAGTCTCTGGTCGGAGACCATTTCAGATATCTGTTTCTGGGAAGAGGAGGAGGAGCCTTTTTACAAGCTTTTTTCTTTGTGTGTATTTGGCAGGCATATACATCCACTGTGCATATGCGACTGAAAATTGTCCTCTCTTGTAGGGGACTACTATGATTTTGAAGCTCTCATGACAGGGACATTAGACTTTCTAGCCCTGATCCTGTAAACACTAATGCAAATGCTTAACTTTACTCACAAATATAGATCCATTACTACTCACATGAGTGAAGATAGACATATGCATAAGTATTTGTAAGACAGGTGTAAAAGTGGAGGCAACTTCCTAAGGTAGAAGCTGATATTTTTGTTAAAACAGCATCATTCTAAACAAAAGAGGGAAATAAACTAGTGTTTAAGAAATAGATAAAATTGGCAGGAATTTTTTTTCAAGCTCTTAACACAATCAATAGAAATTAAAAAATATGCTTAATATAAAGTTACTCGACATGATTCATTCTTTAGAAACAGAAATAATTTAAAGCAGTAACAAAAGGAATAACCCCAAATAGTAAATGCTTTGTACTCCCCAAATTTATAATTTATCATCAACTGGTTATATTTAAAAAAAAATAATTCTTTCCATACCTACCTGCTCATAAAATTCATTAACAATGCCTTCTGTCCATTTCAGGTGCAGATCTCTAACTTTTGCTGGGCCATTAATATCTGCCAATTTGATGCATATTTGACAAACTAGCAGGCGGTCATTCTCATTGTTCCATTCTATACCATGACTGTTTATATCATTGGCCTGTTTAAACATAATTTTTAACAATGTTGGATATTCTTGTAAAGAAAAACTATATATCATTTTATTACATTTTTAAGTCTTTGCAGAATATTGCCCTTTTCTATTAATTTTTCTGTAATATTTTGTCTTGTGTCATTTTTTTAAAATGAAGATAACAGATGTTACCAGCAGCAGATAACTAGATGGGAGATAATTGTTTTGAGGTTTAAAGAAACTGCAATGAATTGGAAAAAAAAACGTAATTATGTGCTATCAGTTTCCCTTTTTAATAGGTTTGTACTGCAGTATTGCATTGTATTACTAACAGTAATTAGTATATTATTTTTATTCCCCATTTTTCAATCTTTAAATATATTTTCCACTTAAGATCATGATTTTCATATATATCCACTGAACTGGTTTCATTCTTTTCTTAATCTAATGGCAATCTATAGTTGAAATCTAGAAAATGGACACTTTATTTCATGTTCGAATGCTAATTTAGGATGTTTATGTGCAAAACAGAGAGATTGTAATGGGTATTAAATACATGCATGCAGAGGATATTCTGATTCTTAACAACTAAAACGTTAATGCATAACAGTTTTGAAGGTTTCTACTGATAAAGGAAATATAAAAATGGGAAGTATTAAGTGTCAGAGTGGAATTCTATACTAGTACTTTAAGGTATGTTCAACAGTTTGATTTTTTTAAAAGGTTAGTACCCTCTATGTAGCACATGCTTTAGCTAGGTCTTCCTACTGGTGTGCTGACATCTACAGTTCAAAGTTCTTTAAATTTAACCTATTAAAAGCAATAAACATTGAGCAACAATGCTGATAGCATAAGCAGCTAAGTGCAGGCATTAACTTGTGTAACAAACCTTGGCATTAAATTCAGCAAGGAAATCAAAATGTTTCTTGAGATCTGTTGCGAGGATTGCTTCGATCACTAAGAAACGAAACCGTTTGAATTCCACATGATCAAGATTAGGTAGAAAATTGTATTCTGGTCGAGATAAAAAGAGATTCCATGCAGAAGCAGCATGATGGTTTTCTAGGACTGATCTGTCATTGTAGAGCACAGCCTACAAAGAAATGAAAAACGAACAGGTGATTTAAGATTCAAAATTAAAAGAGGAAAAGTGTAAAGGCTAAATAATGACATTTTTGTTTAACACGGCCGGTAACTAAAACACTAAGTTGCATTCTAGTTCTGAAGGCTGAACCGAACAAAAGTCTTCTTTGTAGGCAGACATGCACAGGGAAAAATAATCAGACCGGTCTTAATTTTACAGTAATATATACAGGATTAAAAATATCACTAAGAAAAGCAGATAAATATAAAATATGCTTCATGTCACTCCACTTGTTGCTGCAGTGAATATGAACTAATATGTCTGCCTGATGTGGAGGAGGGTGGGAAAGAAGATGCAGAACAAAAGGTTAATACATCAAGGCAAAATGTTTTTTTTAATATATTTTCATTTAGATTTTACATTTTAACTAATTTTTTTTAAATTTTATCTTTAAAAAACAGTACTCCTAAGTGAAACGTTTGATTAATTGGCTTTTTTGAATGAATTATTGGCCAGTTTACAATAGTCCTCTCTGGTGCCTCCTTATAGAATGACTACCATTTGTAAAAAGTGATGGGACAGTCTGCTTATATTCTAGCTTAATCCCTAGCCAGCAATTACTAAAATTGAAGTTTAGCGGAGGGGGAAAAAAATCAATATACTGGCAAGACAAGCTTTATTTGTAGTGCTCGAATTCTGAACAGGCAATGTTACAATTTTGAATGCAGGAGCTAGCAAAACTGTAAGCAATCCACAAACTAATTAAATTAATAACATGTACATAAAGAAAGTTCAAGAAAAAGCCAAAGCCCTCTATGGAAAAGCAACTAGACATATTAATTCATTTTAACAATGTGAAAAGAATCATCCTCCCAAAACCAAGCAGAGTGAAGTTTCTATAATTGAATCACATTTATATGAACTAAATTAGCAAAATGCAATGGAATTTTTTAAAAATTGGGCTTGCCCCATAATTTACCTCCGTAGATTGTACAAAGAAGACTTGAAAAGTTTTTTATCTTGGAAATATCAAACATATCAAATCAGATTTCCTCAGTTTTGCTAAAGGTTTCTAAAGGTTCCCACAAACATGTGCACTGAGTTCTAACAACTTAACTAAAGGGGTGGGATGCTGAGTTTTCAACAAAGACTTTGTTACCTCAACATGTTCAGTCAATGGAGTTAAATGGGTTAAGGAAAAACAAAGTTTTAAACAGTCTGTTGGCCAGTGGCATATCAACTATTAGAAAGGCAGTGGCTTAATTTGTAAATGGCAGCACAGTGCTCTACTTCTTGTGACATGCAGTCAGTGGTAGATCCTGTGAAAACCTGGTACTTTAAGGATACATATATTGCACTCTGTATGGTGCTCTATATGCCCAAACAGTGCACCCCCATCTAGATGACAGGTTTCAGAGTAGCAGCCGTGTTAGTCTGTATCCGCAAAAAGAACAGGAGTACTTGTGGCACCTTAGAGACTAACAAATTTATTAGAGCATAAGCTTTCTAGATGGCTATTTTTAGCAGTGTAGTGTCCTGCTGCCACCCCACTGCTGGCCTTTCCCCACTGAAGTGAAAGACTCTGGCAGCAGAGATAGGCTTTTGTGGGGGAAGCAGCAGGGAAAGGCTCCGGCAATGGGGAGCTTCCAACCCTTTTTCCCACTGCTTCCTCCCTGCTAGAACCTTTCACTGCCATGTGAAGCTATCCACCGCAACCTGGACGCAGCTCGCTTTTCACTGTGGTGTGTAACTACACATACCCTCTGTGTAATCACCAATGGTGTGCAACGTAGATGTATGTAAGATGTATGTTAAGATTTTGAATGACAATATTCTGAATTAAATTAATATCTTGAAAATGAATGTCATTTATTAGCTTCAAATACCTTCTGTTTAGTCTCTAGAGTCTATTCTAAGTTCAGTTATATTTGTATATACTGTATATGTTGTCTCTAGCTGAAATTTTATGTAAATGTAGGCTTTGTCATGTGTACTGTGCTGCACTGATTTCTCTGTTTTCTGACATTTTTTCTGAATTCTTCCCTTGGTGATATTCAAACAAAGCCATCAAAAGACATCAATCACAGCAAAACTGAATTACTACTAATCTCTCCAGTTGATTTCCATTTCTTTCACACAACTTAAACAACCTTGAGTTTACCATCATTTCTATTATCTCACATTTTGGAGGAGTATATGGTCATTGATTTAGAGCTTAAATAAATAATAGTGTCTTATCTTTTACCTAGGAAATGACCCCAAGCTGATGTCCATGCTTAATGAAATAGAAGCAAAGTTTTGATTCATTCTTTTGTAAATCTTAGATTATTTAATGCTTTTTACATATGTCTTTCAGCAGCTTTGCTGCATCCAGTGCGGCTTGTTCAGATGATACTCTCATGTTCATAAAAACAGAGTTTAGGCTGTAACTCTTCAGGGCAGGGACGATCTGTTCCTCTGTTTGCATACTGCCTAGCACAATGGGTCCCAACTCTTGGTGTGCATGCATCCTCTATGCCAGATATTTGAACCCACTGGCCCATGACTGCATCCCAGCTGCCCTCGCACATGCCACTCCTTCAAGAGCATAAAAGGGTGGAACAATACCAACTATCACCAGGGCTGGCTCCATGGTTTTTGCCGCACCAAGCAGCAAAAAGAAAAAGAAAAAAAAAAGCCGTGATCGCAATCTGTGGCGCCACTTCGGTGGCAGCTCTACCGCCGCTGCTTCAGTCTTCGGCGGCAATTCAGCAGCTGGCCCTTCGCTCCAAGAGGGAGTGAGGGTCCCGCCGCCGAATTGCCACCGAAGAGCCGGACATGCCGCCCCTCGCCGTTGGCCGCCCCAAGCACCTGCTTGCTGGGCTGGTGCCTGAAGCTGGCCCTGACTATCACACAAGCTCCTTTGCCAACTGGAATCCACATCCACACAGACACACCTGGAAGAGCATCAGGTACTGCAAAGTAAGTAACAGCTTTTTCTCTGAGTGATTACCTATATGTATTGCACTCTTAGTGATTCCTAACCAATGCACGCATGCTAGGAGGTGGATAATCAGAGTCCTAGACAATCAACGATTGAAGAATTGCTTTGCCAAAATAAGTGTCAGCTATGAAAGCCTCCCCAATAACATAGTGTGTTATGAATGTATGAATTGAACCATAGGTGGGGCTCTACAAATTTCAGAGATTGGAACATTTCTGAAGGAAACTACAGATCCATCTTGAGCTCTAGTGGAGTAATCTTTTATCTTACTGGGGGACCAATCTTCACTATTTGATAACACAGTCTGATGCATTCTGTAGGAAGAAACTGATTTCCCCTTTACTCTTTCAGCATACGCTATAAATAACCTAGAAGAGACTAAATGATTCTATCTAAATAAAAAGAATGAAATTTTCTTTCAGAATCACTAGCATGAGGTTTGGGAAAGAAAATAGGTAAATGAATGTTCTGATTAATATGGAAGTCAGATGCAACTTTCCGTTGGAATCTTGGATGTGGCCCAAGAGAGACCTTATCTCTATGAAAGATGGTGTTTAGTAGACCTGCCATTAAAGCTTGAATTTCTTCCACCCGACAAGCAGAAATAATGGCCACCAAAAACTATGTTTTCATGGAAAGATGATGTAACAAGCATGGCTAATGATTAAAATGGGAGACCCCCATCAGACCTGTTAATACCACATTAAGATGCCATTTGAGGGTGAAGGGGTTCTCTAATTGTAGGGAATACACGCAGCAAACCCCTTCAAAAGCCTAGACACCATAGGGTGTGAAAATACTATGCAATTTTGAATTTGAGGACGACAGAGAGGTATACCTGCTAGAGGAACTTTCATAGAACCAATTAGAAAGTCCAGATGATTTTAGTGAGAACAGCTAGTCCACAATGAACAGAATGTCCATTAGGAAGGCTGAGACATAACGTTGTTTGCCCAAATTGGGAATTGTTTCTATTTGGCACTGTAAGCCACAATGGAGTCCTTCATACTATATATCAAAATATTCTGGACATATCTGGAGCAAGGCATCTTAACATCAGTTAAGCAGTTAGCATCCAAGCTACAAGGTGCAGAGATCGTGGGCCTGGATGAAAGGTCTTCTCATGGTCTTCAGAGATCAAATCTGAGACTAGTGGAAGCATTACTGAAGTCTATCAACAGCCTCCCTAGCTCTGGGAACCAGAATTATCTGGGTCAATCTGGTGCTTTTAGTATCAACACTGCTGCATCCTGCTTGAGTTTTCTCAGAGTATATGGTATAAAAAAAAATGGTGGGTAAGCATGCATCAGGCCCTGAGACCATGGTATTAGGAAGGCACCTGATAGAGACCCTTGACTCTGACTCCCTCTTCATCAAAAAAATGTTGCTTTCTCCCCCCCAATGGCCATTTCTTTGGTAAACAAGTCCATGACTGGGTGACCCTTCTTCTGGAAAATCTGTTGAATAATTGAGTTCTTAATAAACCATTTGTGGTTGGAAGAAAAATGTCTGCTGAGCTGATCTGCAAGGGTGTTCATTAGTCCTGGAAGATAAACAGCAGTGACAGATACTTGATGATGGATATTCCAATAGCTGGATCATTTTCTGACGTAGAGGAGATGATCTAGCTCCTCCTGCTTATATAGAACACTTAGAGCATTGACAATGTCACATGAGGGATGGTATTCAAAATCAGGGGGTTTCTGATCAGTCACAAAGATTGAAGTCTGTATGCCAGGTAACCAAAAGCAATATAAAAAGTTACCCAACTGAAATGTAATCCAAATTCTAACCTAGTATAAAATTTTACTATATACAAATTTACACTATGAAAAGCACAGAGTAGGGACACTGCTAATTGTTCCATCTCTCAGCGTAGGGCAGTTAGAAGGAACAGAGGTGGCTGGCCCTGCTCCATCCTTTTATGCACTCGGGCAGAGGGCTGTGTGTGAGGGAAGCTATGGCAAAGATGTGGGCCAATGGGCACTGTTGGCCGAAACGGTCTGATCTCTGGTTCAGAGGGTGCCTGTGTAACACTGACAGACCCTGGTCGCCAGCAGGCAGGACCCGGGAGCTCTGGAGCTTAGTGCATGAGCCTCTACCGCATGAGCTAAAAGCCAACTGCCTGTTAGCTAAGGCTGTAGAGCAGACTCATTTTATCTCTCTCTTTAAGTAGTCTCAGTGTCACTAGATTGGACAGAACACCACACCCAGAAAGTGTGTGGGTTACATCTGCACACCAAGAGTGGAATACGTATAGACAATCACTCAAAAAAGAATTCAAAATTATAACATCCTAAAATCCCTATCTGAAGTTTACAATATGATCTGTTCCAAGAATCTAGCTCCTGGATACAAACTGAGTCATACTATGTTCAGGCTGCAGGATGAAGACACAGAGGGGAGTGTCTGAAAAGTCTGAAGCTGGGGTAAATACACTCTTCAGATAACTTTCTGGAGCTTCTGGAGGAAGAGGGACTACTTTGGCTTGCCAGGATCCCAAATTCCCTACTGCTACAGTGTACTTGGGAGACTCTCTTTTTGCTTAAACCGACTTGAAGGATGTCTACATTTTCTAAGATGGAAGATCCCACTGTAGAAATATCTATCAACATCCACAAGAAGTTGTCCCATTCCCTTTCCGTGGGGGAATCAGCTATGCTGGACCTGACACAGGTGTGGCCTAGTATATATGCCATATATATATACACCTATATGCAATAAAGTATTAGGAGACTTTCATGTGAACTGTGGCTACTACTAAAAGCTAATATGCTACTGATCCCAAAAGTGAGAGTATGAAATTTGATGTTCTTTCATTGTCTGTCCAATTAGATTAGGGTTACCATACATCCGGATTTTCCCGGACATGTCCGGCTTTTTGGGGGCTCAAATCCCCGTCCGGGGGGAAATCCCCAAAAGCCGGGCATGTC